CTTCGAAGCTTGTGTCGAGTAATGGAGGGGGCGTTTCCGCGATGCGCGTATCGAGGCTTGCTTCATTTATGGGAGGAGCTGAAAATGATGACGTCCGAAGCCTCGCTGCCCGGCTGTACCACGTGACTGGTTCATGAAGTGGTTCGAACTTTGCCGCGAGATATGACAGCGATATAAACCCCTCAGACTTCATTCAAAATGTGGGTGTTTGATGGAGAGTTGCGTTAGTGAGAGTTTGGAGACAGTTTGGAGGTTTATGAGAGTGAGAGAGAAAGTCAGGAGAGAATGGAGCCAGCTAAGAAGAGGAGGATGTCCTCCCCTGTGTGGGAACATTTTGATCTTATTCCTCCCAACAAGGTATGTAAATTTCTACAGAAGATGTATTTTCATAATACTGATGGTGCAATACAATTTATGTTAAGCTGTCTGTACTTTTGTACAAGGTGAAGTGTTTGCTATGTGCCAGGGAGCTGGGATATAACAACAACACCTCATCCATGCTTAGGCACTACAGAGCTTTGCATGAGAATAAGGGGGACACCGATTGTGGAGCAAGACCAGGTGAGCCATCAAATGCAATGATAATATAGCATGCAGTAATGTTACTAAATGATATAACAATATTATACAACTGTAATAAGTTACGTGTGTGATATTTATATTTGTGCTTTTCTTTATTGTCTTTCCTCAGGAGAACAATCTCAAATAGATGAAGACCTGGTCAGCATGGTGATTGAGGACTCCCAGCCATTTAGCATTGTGGAGGACAAAGGATTCAAAAGATTTGTTAAATCATTAAATCCTAGCTATGTTCTCCCCACTAAAAAGGTCTAAAAGCAGTGAAAATTTAGTTTTTACAGAATAAAATGTGAACAGGCAGGACTGAGGCTCAAAGCCTCAGTGTGTAGCTGTCCATACCTCAACGTTACAAAAGCACAACTACTGTCCACACCCCAACCACACCTCACCTCACAGTAAATGATCATTTTCCATACTGCCAGTATAAATATACACAGTATGCTGCCATCACTACAATATACATGTTTTACACACTCCTTTTGTTGTTGACATTTACAGGCTGTGTGCAAAAGGCCACACTCTTCAAATTCATGCCAACTAATATTTTTACATCCAGTAGGTGTCCTACTAGAGCAATGAAGCTTCAAGAAGCTTTGCACTGGGGTGAACCAATTGGATGAAAAGCTTCAGTGCTTCATGAAGCTTCATCTGCCCATCACTACTAATTCATAACGAAGAAAGCTTTGTAATGAAGACTGTCATTTCCAAAACACGCCCCCCGGTCCGCAGCGCTGTTGAAAAGGCTGTGGAAGTCCCTGTATTAAACACGTAGACCTGTGACACAAAAATCACCAAACTCGGACGACCACAGACTGTTTTCCTTCGTGGTGATGAAGGAAAACGCTGGGTTGGCATGTAAAAGGGCATTTATTCCCTTCAAAGACCTGCAGTTCAAAAAAAGCGCCCCTCGACAGCCAAACCCATCTGTTCTCTGATTGGATTGTTACATTTGTGATTGACATGACATTGACCAATCAGATGAAAGGAAGAAAAATAGGGTCAAAATTCGTACTTGTAACTTGCAGGGTTTTTTTGGCTAAGTCCACACACAAATCTTTTTTACACATACAAATCTTTTTTACGCACACACAAATCTTTTTTACACATACAAATCTTTTTTACACACACACAAATCTTTTTTACACACACACAAATCTTTTTTACACATACAAATCTTTTTTACACACACAAATCTTTTTTACGCCACTCACAAATTCTTTTTACACATACAAATCCTGATTTACAAGTACAAAATATTTATGACCACATTTTGAGCCCATATCTGCTCTCCCGCAGCACTCAAAGCACTTTATGTAATATGCATTATTCACCCATTTATACAAGCAGTTTTGTCTATGCCTAAGTGCTTTCTGTCAAATATTCATAAATTCATACTCCAATGGATGCATCAGGTTTGGAGGCCTATCTCCACCCCACCACCACTTCCCCTGCCAGTGGCGGACTCCCTCAGACATCGGTGCGTTGGTGGTTCTTTGTGTCTGCGGGGTGGGCGTCCGGTACACACCGGCTCACTCCTTGGCGGCCGCTTATCGGGGCCTGGAGCCTGGGGCTCGCTCGGGCCACTTCGGAGGTGGGGTGCCCCCGGCCTCTCGGCCTGGGGCTCGGTCACTCAGGCACAGGCTGGCTGCCGGCGGAGCTCACGGGCGCGTCACTGCAACTCCCCCTGGCTTCTGCTCCGCGGCTGCTGAGTGAGCCCTCATCTGGGACTCTCCTCAGCTCTTTCTGGGACAGTGGCGCGGCGCACAATAATGTTTAATATTTAGTATTTACTGTCATATTCCCATATATCATTGTGATGTTGTTTATTCTATTACTCTTGTTCTCTTCTGCTTGTTTTCTTTTTTCTTTCTCAGCAGGTGATCCAGGTGATTGATATATGCATTTTTTTTCTGCCCGTTCTGTTGGTTTTTGTCTTTTGCCCTTCTCCCCCGTCCCTCTTCTCAGCTGTTTCTCTTTCCCTCTTTCTTTCTCCCCTTCTTTCCCCCAGTCAAGTCTGTCCCGTATTCAGTAAGTGAAAATAAAATAAACAATAAAAGGTGAATCAAATGGACCATTACGGCAAGGCTGGGATGGTCAATTTGGTAAAGTAAATCCGTTGGGCATCTTTCTTTGCCTTTAGACAACAATTCTGATGGCAAAAGAGCCAAACGGGACAGGCAAAAAAAAAAAAAAAAAAAAAAAAAAAAATGGATGCATCAGATCCAACTTGAGGTTACAGTTTTTGCCCGTTGCTTGAACACTATAAACCCATGCTCAGACTAAAGTAACACAACGTGAAGCTTTTGTTACCATACCTCAAACACATGTACCCATACCTTAAACAAAAGCGCTGCTTTGCACCCCAGTACCAATTATGCAACACTCCTACTCCTTTATGCAACACACCTACCCCTTTATGCAACACACATGGTCCTGCATGCTACACTCTATTTCATACATAAGACACTTCGCTCACAAAATGAAATGTCAGGGTGCCATTCGGAAAACACATGTATCCAAAATACAAAACACATGGGGTAATTGCAACCACGCAAATACACACCTGAAGGCACTTACTTGCAAAACCGAACACCAATTAGCCAACTACAAAAAGCCCTCAGCGTAGCCATTTCAAGAACTTCGCAAGCATGGATGGAGGGAGAGCAAGAGGAAGAGGAAGAGGTAGAGGAAGAGGTAGAGGAGGAGAGGAAGAGGAGGAGGAGGCCGAAGAGGCCATGCACGGACCCATATTTCTGATGAAATAAGTCTTTGGTCCCGTTGCCTGAACACATTTTGCAAAACTTTGCTCATTGTGCCAAAACCCTAAACACAAGTAAACATGACACAACACTGGGAAATATACCATTCACATCTGCACCAAATTGAAACTCTACTCTCAAAACCTAAACTCTGCTATCAAAACCTAACATTCCTTTGTCAAAATGTAACTCTGTTGACAAAATGACACATACTTGCATCATATGCAAACACTTACAGAGCAGGGGGAACACACTAGTCTACTTTATATAAAGCACTGCAGTCTTTGATTTCCATTGTTCATTCAGAAGGCATATTTTCAGGAGACACATTTGCAAACAACCAAAAAAGCAAATAGGCCTACTCAATATTGTACATTGCAGTACCATGAATTCAGATAAAGCAAGAAAAAAACAACAAAAAGAGAACATATTACTGCACTACAGTGCTACACATACAGAACCCTCACCCCATCACACGGGTACCTGTGTAGCTCTCAGAATGTATTCATGTGGTACTGATATGGTACATATTCAGCTCGAAGTCCTTTGACCCTGTCACTGTTCCTCTCAAATGGGACTCTGTAGAGCTGCTTCATGGTGATGCTGTGTTTTCCCAAGATGCGTCTGATGGTGGTGATGCTCACATGGTTTATGTTGTTGAACACTTGCCTGTCTGCAAGTATTTGCTTTCGTAGCTGGTGGAGACGGATGGCATTGTCTGCCCTCACTAGGTCCACAACGGCAAGTTCCTGCCGTTGTGTGAACAGGCGTTGGCGTCCTCCCCCAGAAGGTCTTCGAGTCATTCTAGAGAAATACAACCACATATTGTCATCGGTTTGCTTATTTTTCTTACAGTACTTTACTGTATATACTGTATCATCCACTGTACAACACTGTACTTCAATATAAGTAATCATGGTATGTTTCACAGAAACTACCACTTTGGCTGCAAAAGGAGCATTAGCACCCTGCAATACCCTGTACACTTGATATGGTAACTGTAGAACAGTACTATAAAAACCATCTGAGTAGAGTAGAAGGCAGTGAGATGAAGACAGACCTGTTTTCTAGTCGGAATTTTCTTATTACAGATGCCACTGTGAAGCGGCTTAGATGTGGGTGGACTCTCTGCCCAGCTTCCCTCATAGTCAGGCCGTGGTTGATGACATGGTCCACCAAAGTTGCTCTTATATCATCAGAAATATGGGTCCGTGCATGGCCTCTTTGACCTCCTCCTCCTCTTCCTCTTGCTCTCCCTCCATCCATGCTTGCAAAGTTCTTGAAATGGCTAAACTGAGGGCTTTTTGTGGTTGGCTAATTGGTGTTCAGTTTTGCAAGTAAGTGCCTTCAGGTGTATATTTGAGTGGTTGCAATTACCCGATGTGTTTTGTATTTTGGATACATGTGTTTTCCAAATGGCACCCTGAAATTTCATTTTTGAACGAAGTGTCTTATGTATGAAATAGAGTGTAGTATGCAGGACCATGTGTGTTGCATAAAGGAGTAAGTGTGTTGCATAATTGCAACCAGAGTGCAAAGCAGCACTTTTGTTTAAGGTATGGGTACATGTGTTTGAGGTATGGTAACAAAAGCTTCAAGTTGTGTTACTTTAGTCTAAGCATGGGTTTATAGTGTTCAAGCAACGGGCAAAAACTGTAAGAGCAACTTTGGTGGACCATGTCATCAACCATGGCCTGACTATGAGGGAAGCTGGGCAGAGAGTCCACCCACATCTAAGCCGCTTCACAGTGGCATCTATAATACGAACATTCCGACTAGAAAACAGGTATGTCGTCACCTCCATACCTTCTGCTCTACTCAGATGGTTCCATAGCACTGTTCTACAGTATATCACATTACCATATCAAGTGTACGGGGTGCTAATGCTCCTTTTGCAGCCAAAGTGGCTGATTCCTTATATTGAAGTACAGTGTTGTACAGTGGATGACACAGTACATACAGTAAAGTACTGTATGAAAAATAAGCAAACCGATGACAATATGTGGTTGTATTCCTCCAGAATGACCCGGAGACCTTCTGGGGGTGGACGGCAACGCCTGTTCACACAACAGCAGGAACTTGCCGTTGTGGACCTAGTGAGGGCAGACAATGCCATCCGTCTCCACCAGCTACGACGGAAAATACTTGCAGACAGGCGAGTGTTCAGCAACATAGACCATGTGAGCATCACCACCATCAGACGCATCTTGGGTAAACACAGCATCACCATGAAGCAGCTCTACAGAGTCCCATTCGAGAGGAACAGTGACAGGGTCAAAGGACTTCGAGCTGAATATGTACGGGTACGTGTAACTGTCCCTTACATTTACAATAGAGTATTGGTGAAGTCCAGTAGCAGCTGAATATGTACCATATCAGTACCACATGGATCTATTCTGAGAGCTACACAGGTACCTGTGTGATGGGGTGAGGGTGCTGTATGTGTAGCACTGTAGTACAGTGACATGTTCCCCTTTTTTTCAGAGGATCATGGCCATGGATGGAGCTGCACAGCCTCATGAATACATTTTCATTGATGAAGCTGGATTCGACCTGAGCAAAACAAGACGACGGGGTCGTAATGTAATTGGCCAAAGGGCAATTGTGCACGTCCCAGGGCAGCGCGGGGGAAACATCACATTATGTGCCGCCATATGCCTTCGAGGACTTCTGCACCATCATGCAATGCTAGGTCCATACAATAGCCAACACATACTCACATTTCTAGATGCTCTCCATAACATAGTTGTACAGAACAGACCAGATCAGCCCAGGTTTGTGGTGATATGGGATAATGTCAGTTTCCATCGGGCTGCTCTGGTCCAGGCCTGGTTCACCGACCACAATCAATTTGAAGTGGTATACTTGCCCCCTTACTCACCATTTTTAAACCCTATTGAGGAATTTTTTTCGGCTTGGAGATGGCGAGTATATGACCGCCAACCACATGCCCGCATGCCTCTTCTGCAGGCAATGGAACAGGCCTGCGGCGACATTGAGGTGACAGCGATCCATGGATGGTTTCGGCATGCAAGAGGGTATTTTCCCCGGTGCCTAGCGGGAGAGGACATAGCTTGCGATGTTGATGAGGTCCTGTGGCCAGACCCCAACAGACGGCGGGATCCATGAGCCCACTTATGCACACTTGTCATGGTTTTTTGTGTTTACAGTATAGTGTTTTTTCTATTGCAGTATTATTGTGTTGTGGTTTTTTTTTTTTTTTTGCTTCATCTGAATTCATGGTACTGCAATGTACACTATTGAGTAGGTCTATTTGCGTTTTTGGTTGTTTGGAAATGTGTCTCCTGTAAATGTGCCTTCTGAATACACAATGGAATTCAAGGACTGCAGTGTTTTATGTAAAGAAGACTAGTGTGTTCCCCCTGATCTGTAAGTGTTTGCATATGATGCAAGTATGTGTCATTTTGTCAACAGAGTTACATTTTGACAGAGGAATGTTAGGTTTTGACAGCAGAGTTTAGGTTTTGGGAGTGGAGTTTCATTTTGGCACAGATGTGTATGGTATATTTCCCAGTGTTGTGTCGTGTTTACTTGTGTTTAGAGTTTTGGCACAATGAGCGACGTTTTGCAAAATGTGTTCAAGCAACCACTGCTCCCTTGCAGTCTTACAAAATGCTAACTGCACGTCATTGAAAGTAAATACTGTATACAAAGTTGTGCCAAAACACAGACACTGGCTGCACTGGGCTTTTTGCATTGTTTTCAACACTCTGGCTCTTCACATGTTAGCACTTTGCTCTTCTCCAGGCCACAGGGTGGTTGTGCCACATATTGCTGTCACTGCATGACACTAAAAAAAACTCTCCCGCCACCGTCGTGTTACCTACGCTGAGCTGTAAATTCTCCTTAACGCCTCGATTGCTCTCATTATAGACTCCACCATGGACAGCTGAAAACTCTACAGCAGAGCAGTCCTCGAGATCTGTTAGAAGTTTGAAGTAGCTCCGCTTCGGTCACAGGATGTTCTTGTAATGACTGTATGAACGACTGGAGATCCTATACAAACAGCAGAAACACTTCAGATTCTCCAATCTCGTCCAGAGCACTTTCTGCCAGCCAAATCAGAGCATGTCGGGACTGTCCTTTAAAACCCACCACTGTTGGTTCGCTGCACTTAAGACGCTGGCACACCTTTGTGAGTTCGGGTTTCCCAAGGGTCCACAATGCTGTTCTGATGTCATCTTGTAGTTGTTCCATCTTTGGAAGATGTTAATTCAACACGTTCTAGATTTTTGTCTAGAGCAGGAAACCTACTCTTGGTTTCCTGCTCTAGGAAACCAAGAGTAGGTTTGTGTAACATCATCTGTAACACCAGATGATGTTACACACTGAAGGAAGACAAGGTTCATTCAGGTGCACATTGAGCTTTGTTCCTCACAGCAGTTCTGTGTTACTGATGGTTTCCATCACAATAACTGGCCTGCGTTACTTTTGCAGGGGATTATTTATAATCAGCCTTTAGAGAACAGAGTAAAAGACAGTAAACAATACACAACATGTACCAGCTGGTTTACCAAAACATTTCTGATAATTTTAACTTAAACCAGCAAATATTTTTCTCTGTTGTATTTTTGATGGTACAACACTTTGCAAAGTTTAATGTAGGATTCTAGGACACCCATGTTGCTAGGTTCATCCACAGATAAGCTGAACTAACTCTCTTATTTGGACACATTAATGTCACATTAACAGGAATTACACTCAAAAAATATTAAAAAAAATATTTATGTATTTATGTAAAGTGTTAACTTTACATAAACCTATGCAGTGCTCGTATACTGCTTTCACCTGAAACACAGCAAAACAGCAGTTCTTTGTTACTGACGGCTTCCATTACAATAACTGTCCTGTGTTACTTTCGTAAGGGATTACTTTGCCAGTCACTCATTTTTCTGAGCCGCCACTGCCACCTACTGACCAAACTAAATATCACCCTAACACCACATCAGGTGCGAGCAAATGCGTTTTGCTCTGTGATACAAACTATTCACAACAAAAGCAAGAAAAAAAAGTGTGTGTGTTTGGGGGGGGGGGGGGGTGTCACAAACACTGCGGGCTGAGAGTTGTTGACAGTTCAAACATTCAGGGTACCACACCAACAGGCAATTTCATTCTCTATTCCAGCATGTTATTGTTTTGTAGGAGAAAAACCCATGCAGGTACAAATATCAAAATATACCCTGTCTGACCGGACTTTGTCCTGTTGACTTATAGAACAGAAAACAAAAAGAAAAACAAACCTTCCTGTCACTCTTTGGCTAACAACAGAGCTCCAACATGTTCACACATGCTGTGTACAGGATCGGTCAGACTGATTTTGTTTGTGCTTTCAAGACCTTTTAACTCCTTCACCACCATCGAATTGAGGAAGCGAACAGTTTCATCTTCATTAAGACTTCACAAAAAGTGGTGATGCATATTTGTAGAATTTAAATCGCTCCAAGAATTAGATAAACATTTTAAACATGGTAAAAAAAAAGTTTCATGTTTTTGTGTTAGGTAGTTTTAGTGTCAGCCCACTCAGTAAACACGCCACATCATCCCTGCTAACAACAACAATGCAGCATGTTAGGCAGTATTTGACTCATTTGCTGCTGCGCTTGTCTCACAGATAGACCACATAAAAGCACTGTATGATGCACTGAAAGAGTACAGTTACTTCAGCTCTCGCTGATGTTATTGACTCAGAAATGTGCGACCCTGAAACATTAATGCTCTTTCTTTCTCCTTCATTCGATTTATTCCACACAAAAACTGGTGAACCACAGAGCAGGATCAAGTCATTCGGAAAGTCCCTTATTTTCACTTTTTGTTACAAAACATCAAAGTCTCTTCTGAGATCAGAATGTAGTAGCACTGATACTTGCCAAGTCTCTGAGCATTTCCTCTTTATTTATTTTTATCTTTCATCAGTTCTGCCTTCTAACCACAGCTCATGTAAGAGTTGTGTAAGTTGTCTGAGAGTCTGCTCTGAGTCTTCTGTGTTTGTATTATATGCTGACTGAAGTTTCTAAACAAAGATAGGTCGTGTTGTGTTGTAACTTGAGACAATATTGGATTAGATGTGATAAAGTATGACATAAATCTAATATTTATTCTTTGACTTTAAGCCCAGAGTGAACACTGTAGGTGTTTAGGTTGTTTTGTTTATGTTTTGGATGAATTTATATCTGGCATGTGATTATGGAGTATGTTGTGTTTCTAGTGTAGCTCTCCTGTTTGGTGGCTTTTGGGAGGCTGTAGAGCAGGTTGTTAACCAACTGGATCCGTGTTTGATCTCCAGCTCCTGCAGTTTGCATATTTAAGGAAGGTAAGATGGTGAATGCTGAGTTGCTTCTGATGCATCGATCTGAATTCGAGTCTGTGTGAATGTTAGAGAAAGTGCTTGTGTGATGGGGTGTTGTTTTCAGTTAGAGTAAAAAATGTGCAACATAATAAGCAGTTCATTTGACCAAAGGGTGGTACACTTTTGCTGTAAACGTACCTATTCTGTCAAAAGCAGCACATAACTGAGGGATGATTAATGTGGTAACTAAAATAAAGTGTAAGTGTAAGAGCAGCTCTGATGTAATGTAAGTATTTCTCAGTAAGACAGTTCAGAGATATGAGAGGAGCTGAAGGAGAATCAGTATGTGTATGTTTTCACCTTTAAACCTTGAAGCTGTATCTGAAAGGAACTTCGCTTTGGTTCGATAAGAGGGAAATTAACAAAAGTCTTTCCTGTCTTTGCACAGTTTGACATATTTTCACTTCATGTTCTCGTTTATATGAAAACAACTGCCAGAGAAATGGGCGTGTTCTGGGTATTGTCTGCCCACTGACAGTTTAACGGCTGCTCCTGTTTGTTTTCCTCAGGCTTCATATGGAGCTCGAGGGTGAAGTTTTAGATGAAAAAAAAAACAGATAAGAGGTACTTTTTTGTGATAATTCAGGCGCAGGAAAATCAAAAGCGTTTATTCAAGATGAGCGGCTGAAAGAGATACACGTTTCACACTCGCTTGGAATTTGAACTAACGCAGTCAAGTTTTAGACCCCGGTCCAGTTATCCACGGATAATATCAGCAGGCGGGATTTTAAACAAAGATCGTCGGACTACAGCGTGGACATGGCTGCAGGAACATGTGCGTGTCTTTGCTCGACTCTGCTGTTTGCTGTCGTCTTTGTGTCCGTGTCTGCAGGTGAGATTTAACTGTTGGAAACCAAACAGCGACCATAAGCAACATAAAGAAGAATAAAGAGTTTCAGAGTGGTTTGCATGTGTACAATATGGTATAATGCAATATCAGCACACATAATATAGTACTAGTTCATCGTTAC